AAGATCTACAGTCATGAATTTAAAGTAAAATTAGTGCCAAAGTCCATTTTTCTCCAGCTGCTCTTAATTGCATGGGAGTAAGCACAAATTATGCACAGGTGGTTTGGCCAGGGCTGTGGTTTCTCCAAGTAATAAGAGGAAATGAGAGGTGAGACGACAGAGAGGTGAGTAGAAGGTATAAGCAAGGGAGCTATGGTAGGTTTTGAGTTATAATTTTATATCAGCTTGTCTGCTATGAGGCATGATTTTATCCCAATCTAACTCTGAGCCCTAATTCTTACTCACCATGCTGTACCATCTCATTCATTTCTCATATCATTATGGAGTCCCTAGTTTGACCCATTCATTGGGAAGGTCATCTGTAAGGAATGTATACCATTTTAGGAAGGAATTCTTGCTTCTCCCAAGGTCTCAGAAGGTACAGAAAAATCACTATGTGCAAGGCTTCTAAATTCCAGTCCAACCTGATGACTGCAAATGTTCAAGATCAAGCAGATCCACCATCCAACAAATACCTGTGATCATGCTATAAGATCACAGAATGAATGTGTGTGTGCACGCATGTGCTCACACACACATGTGTACACACACACTCCTATTTAAAGCATTGCAGACATTGATACAGTGTGTAAAAAAAATGGTGCAGCCAATATGGAAAGCAGTATGGACATCTCTTGGAAAATTGGGAATGGAACCACCATTTGACCCAGCTATCCCTCTCCTCGGTCTATACCCAAAGGACTTAAAAACAGCATACTACAGGTACACAGCCACATCAATGTTTATAGCAGCACAATTCACAATAGCTAAACCGTGGAACCAACCTAGATGCCCTTCAATAGATGAATGGATTTTAAAAATGTGGCATATATACACAATGGAATTTTATTCAGCATTAAAAGAAAATAAAATCATAGCATTTGCAGATAAATGGATGGAGTTAGAGAAGATAATACTAAATAAAGTTAGCCAATCTCAAAAAAACAAATGCCAAATGTTTTCTTTGATTAATATAATATGTATACAACCAGGGATATAAAAAATTGTGCTTATATATGTAATAAGAATTATAATGCATTCTGCTGTCATATATAAATAAAGAAAAAAATTACATAAAATTTGCATATGTATGCATGGTGGTGGGGGGCAATGGAACATTTCCTGGACCCCTGGAGGCAATACCTAGGAGACCTTCTCCTCTGTACATATCTACTTTATCCGCACCCCAACTCCTCTCCAGTCACAAAAGGAAATTCTGTGTAAAACATGTTATATTCAAAATAAAGCATTAAGAAACTTTAAAAAGAGAGACCAGGGATTACTTTATTTTATTCAAGAACTGTTTAGTTCGGATCTACTTATTGCCAGCGCTGTTTACTGCTATATTAAGCAGGCTTCTATGAGGATCTGAAATCCAGTAGCAGCTATTTCAAACTATTAAAGGGATTTTCTAACTGTAAGAGTTCTCACTTGAAATGCTGTTTATTCCCTCATCTCCAGAAGCATTTAGAATGAATCTGGAGGATCAACCAGAAATGATATAGAAGGGATTTCTGTTTCTTCACATAGGTGGTTAGAGCAGGTGAATTTGTCTTGCATAATTCTTAACATGTGAATTATAAGTGGCCAAATTATATATATATATATGTAAATGTATATATATATATGTGTGTGTGTGTATATTTATATTAAAATGCCGTTTTGAAGACTATTGAACAGGCACATATAAAACAGAATTGCTATAATGCCACCAAGGCTTTTTCTTCTGCTTATCCAAGCATTATCAGTTGATTTATTTAATAAAACTGAGGACCAAGGAAGACTAGAGATGCAGATTCCAATAGAGTGCTCATGCTGTGATTATTGAAGTGATAAGTAATTTGCTTTTAATGCTAGTGCGTACCACTTAGCACCATATTTAACTGAAGAAAGAAAATCACTCATTTTTCATCCCCTCGCTTAACTGACACTTAGTATAATCTATCTATTGTCACTGAAGTTAATACAAGGAACATTTAATAGATTCCACTTTGAAATTTACAGCACACATTTAAATGTTTAACTCCTTCTTATTTATATTTGTATTCCTCCGTGGAACCAAATTCCAAATGAATATTCTATCCAGGAAATAAGAGCACAGTAGGTACTCACAAATATAATCTATTAAAAGGATTTACAGTTTTCAATTATAATCACATTTAGTATTGTGTGCTATCTTTTCTATGACAAAAATAGCATCGTGAGTGGTGTGTCCATGAGTAACTAAACATAATACTGAACATGAAGTTACTAATGAAATCACTGAAAAACATGTGCTTGAGTTCGTTAATGCTGTTTTACTAATAGGTTCTTGAAAAATAAGAATTATCATTATAAATTATCCTCAATGTTCGAAATAAAAACCAGGTGACTGAATTCACAGGTATCCAATACGGTCCACTAGAAACCTGTCTTAGATTATGAAATAATATTTTGCACTGACTACAAATATGTGTACTTCTTCCTAATGGGACATTACACTGGCACCTGTCACAATGGAACTCCATTCTTGCTGAGTATCTGCTTATAGATATTACTCTCATTTCTCTTTGTCCATGGAATTATTATTTGCAGTTCATAAAGGGGCACAGAAAATGAGAGGAATCAATCATAAGAATAAAGACTTCCATTTTTTTTCTTTATTTTTCTTAAGAAACTGACCACACATACATACACCCCCAAAAGTCAAAATTGGATAGGTTATTTCAGTGCTAATACAAATGTAGGATTTACTTGAGAATGTAGACAGTGCCAATATCTTATTTCTGTGTTGGACTGGGATATAGTATTGAGCCTATAAACATCAGAAAGGTCCTTTACAATGAGAGAGAACTTAAGAAAAAAGTATCTATCCTTACTCACCCCACACCTATATAATTATATAATTTTATAAAAGCTTTAGACAAACTCAAATGTTGAACTTATTACCTAGCACTTAATATTCAGCAAAATGAGTTCAATGGAGGAAAAAACAAACACAAAGCTACAATGGTAACAAAACACTCCACAGATGTGTATTTTAAAATACTGAAAAACTCAGGCATTGCAATAATGCATGAAGACAACTTAGAAGAAGAATAAGGCGACATAGGTTAGAAAACATAGTGCGTTCCTAGGCATCCTTTGGAGACAGAAGATATTGGTCTTCCTAATTAAACTCATTCTTCCACTGGGGCCACCAATTTCCTGAAGGAAACATGGAAAGGAAATATAAAACAACTTATTGACGGTTGATCTCTTTTTTGTTCATTCAATTCACTCTCATGTAGTTTATTAGATATAAAATTAAGTGAAATTTGACATGTCTGTTTAATTCTTTCATCCAATAAAATGTACTGAGAATTTACTAGTTCAGAGAACTGTATTAGAAGCTGGGCAGGTAATAGTAAATAAAGCAGAAAATTCCCCTTGCCCTCATAGGGCTTAAATATTACTGAGCGTACTATAAATAGAAGTGAAGACTTATAAAATCGGCAAGTACGTCTATTGATGTTTTAGTGAGCAGGAGCAATAATGTCAACTATTAAAATGTTTCTATAAAGTTTATTCATTTCTGTGAAGTTGAGATCTGTTGACAGACATATTAACGTAAGTTGGTTGGCTTCCCATAATAGCTATATAGGATAAAAAATACAGACGGTATATACACATGATAATTTCTGCCAACACAAAGAGAAACAGATGTAATCCTTGATGCAAACTTCTTATGTTAGACCATCGATAGATAGACCATGATTTAAGATGCGGATTGAAAAGCCACCAGGATTGGATGTGTTCCCATGTTTCTAATGATTGGTATCAATTTTAAGCCCTCTAATAAACATGGCTTCTGTTTAAGGATGTGGCTGAAAAGGTAGTTGCTCTCCGACTTCCTCACAGATGTAGGGAAGGTCCAAGGGCCTCGATAGGCACTGCAAATGTTGCTCTATAAAGCAGACAGAGGATTCTTAATGATACAGGGCTTTTTATGATCCGTCAACCTTCTGATACTTCATTGTCCATTTGCGTTAATAAGTCCCACTATGAGCCTTCAAATGAAAGAGAAGAAAGCAAGGGAGTAAAGCGAAAAGGGGAGTATTATAAGGAATGAAAAGTGGAGGTCTACTTTGATCTCTTTAGGAAGAATTGAAATGCATGCAGAAAGCCCAAATCTGAGCCACCAAGTTATGCCTTGGTTGCTGTCATCCTAGAGTACAAAATATATGCTTTGCAAACTAACCCACTAAGTGATTTGGTTTATTCATTGTTGTTATTTAATTTTTTCACTTTGTTTTCCCCTAAAGTTTCTTTTAGGGAAAAAAAAAAGTGTGACATTTTCCAGAAGCACAAAAGGACAAGGGAATTTATTTAGACTTGAGTTTGTCATCTTCTAATCACTCCCCTCATTCCCTCCATATGAAAGAAAACTGCTCCCAAGAGTGTTAGAAATGATCCCATCCCTCTTTAAATTTCCGAGTGGTCCAGTAGCTCCTTTGGAGGTAAGCAAGATGAAAGAGGTTTCCATTCTCTCTGAGAACCTGTTTGTGATGGGCATGACTCCTATCTGTTCTTCCTAATACCTGCTATTGACTTCTGGTTGACTCCATCTTACAAGGCAATAGGGTCATAAAGGATGTCCCACTTGGTTCCCACCATGACATGTGCACCATGAAAAGTAAGACAAACCACAGGGATGTGGCATTAAGTGGCTCCTTCTTAGTAGATGCACTCACATAGCAATGAAATTCTTATTTTTATTTTTATTTTTTTTGTACCAGGTATTAACCCAGGGGTGCTTAACTACTTAGCCACATCCTCAGCCTTTTTTAAAAATTTTTTATTTAGAGACAGTGTCTCTCTAAATTGCTTAGGGCCTCAATAAGTTGCTGAGGCTGGCTTTGAATTTAATCATTTCATCTCAGCCTCCCAAACTGTTGGGATTATGGCTAAGTGCCACCACCCCTGACTAAATGAATGTGTAATTAGCAGAAAAAATACCTTTTTATATTAATGGTTCCTTTCCATTCCTCTTCTTTAGTATTGAACGATTCTCTCAGCACGGTGTCCATTTGAGTTATGTGCTCCTGAATAGCTATGATCACTTCTCTGTGGACAAACTTCAAGGCACTGATATCACCTAACACCTTTAAAAAATGGGGATTAAAATAAGCAAAATATTAACTTACCATGTTTTGAAGAAAGTTTTTAGGTGGAATGACCAGAAGTGGTTACTTTTTTTCCTATTTTAACCCCTGGAAGAAAAATCAAACCTGGAAATCCCGTGAGATGTCATATTATTATCCTAATTCCTCAGTTTTGTATGATTATGACTTTATGGTTCAGTTTCATTTCTGACCTTGACAATAATTTTACAACAACCTTATTACAAATGTAAAATTATTTTATATAAAATATGCAATATAATAATACAGAACATAGAGTCATAAGAGGCAATTAAAATATGTTCAAAAGGCAAATTTTTCTAATTCTACTAAAACCCAAAATGCCAAAATCAAAAATAAACTGGGATTCTTTTATGCTTTGAATAAATCTTGTTTGATGAAATGCATGGAAAACAAAAACAGGGAACACGCAGTCTAGCATTCCTTTTAATAGGAACTCACTGTCCCTAGGGAAGTTTCTGTATACAGAAGACTAATTGCCCTGGACTACAGCTCACAGCCATGCCAACATGCTGTTCCACTCATCACACACAGTTTGGGTTTTCTTCTGGACTATTTATAATAATCACCAATTTCACTGACTTCATAAGTCTCTCCTACATCTTGAAGGTATCTAACATTGCCAAGCATTCTGCTAAGGGCTGGTTTTCCCCCACAACTTATGAACTCTTGAACTGAAAGTCATCCAGATGAGAAAGGCAGGGAGCCACGTCTGCATACTAATGGGCAAGTTGAATATCTTTCTCTGGATAGCAAAGCAGACATCTGCTTATCAGATAAGCTCTGGTTACAGAAACCATTTTCTCCTTCTAGAATGACTTCTCCATCTCCTCAGGAGCCTATAAGTCCTATAGCTACCCAGTCATGAAACCTCTGCCCAGGGTGGGCAAATCGAGAAAGGGTTCTGGTTAGAATACTAGAAAAGAAAAATCTCCTTCCTTCCAAGGTAATGAGCATCAGGAGTGACAAAAGCCTAAAATAATGCCATAGTATGAAGAAAACATTCCCAAGAACAAAGGCAGCACATATGAAAAGAGAGATTTGAAAACATCCATTGACATCCTGAATGCTACCACCCATCAGAAGAGCTATGACGATTCCTATTTATTTGAGTTAATAAATGAACAGAAATGGATCAGGTGCTAGAAAAAGACAATTAGGTAGTATTGAGAAAATAGATACCCCTGGACTCCATGATTTTTCCTGCTCTATGGAATCTCTTCAGCAGCCTTCTCAGAGTAAACTTCTCCCACTGGCACCTGCGAGGACATCCTTTGCCTTCACTTGCTTCCCCGTCATTCTTTCTGAGCATCTCTTGCATTTCCTCTTCAGTATATACCTTTCTTTCTTCATCTTGATGCATGATCTTTTAAAATCTAAACTCTTTTAAAAATCTTTGTGCATGATCATTTTAAAATCTTGTTAGGAAGCATTCTGTGCCCAAGAAACTTACTAAAATGCACTCTCTACATTCTTATCCAGGTTGTCTAAAAATGCATGCCAGAGTTAAAATTCTAGAGCTCTTCCCATTTCGAGCTCTGCCTCTTGAAATACCTTTCCATTTAGGTCCATGTATATTACAGATATCAAATTGGATGGCACTCAGTCTAGAATTATGCATTCCAAAATGACAAGGTTCACTTTTTCCTAAGTTCCTTTTCATTTACAATCTTTCTTTGCTGTTGTGGCTGAGATTCAGAATGAATAAAAGAAAAAAAAAAAAAAAACCTCAATCCCCACTTTATCTTTTAGGAAATGAATTGTGGGGATGTCTCCTTACTTACTAGTACCTCTTTTTTAACACAAATTCCTTAAAGAGTCCAGAGTGCTTGGAGAAGAAGAACAGTGGGGGCAGGGGTGGTTTTGTTGCTGGGAGTTTGAGGAATTTCACTATTGTCATCTGGACTAATCATCTGGAAGCATTTGTCTACCCAGATGCAGAGTATCAGGGTCATGGGCCAGCAGCATGGAGTCTTCTGGTTACTCTGGTTCTTCTAACTTCCTTCTGCAATTTCAACTATTGCTGCTATCCTGGTCATGGCTGACGCCATAATGTATCAAATATGCACTTATATAAAATGATATGGATGCACACGTGATACACATCCAATTAATAAATATATTTTGGCCTGACAGATTTACGAAAGCGTGAACAAACATTTAACTAACCTCAATTGCAATTGCTAACGAAACTTCTTTGCTGTCTCTTCTCACTTTAGCTCTGTGCAGGACAGTTCTCTTTCCAATTACAGCAAAATGCTGCTAAAGAGATCCTAGAATATTTTTAATTTCTCATTAATCTGAATAGTTATTTATTTCAAGTTATGTATGCTGGAAAAGTAAGCAGATTATTATGGTCATATTTATTATTTTATTTTACAGATCACATTAATTAATGGAAAAAATGTTAGAAAACAAATATTATGAAAAAACCTAAAATGTATGACAAACTCGTGCTTCAACGTGCCATGCTTTAAAAAAAAGAGAAAAAGCCAACCCGGTATTGTAGCATGTTTAAAGGCAGAAAAAGGACAGTGAACTATGATACTCACACCGTTTGATATTTCAAACACATTATCCAATTAAGCTAGAGAAAATGTCGTTTGTGTGGCTGTGACTCAAAAGACTCTCAAAGTGCCGGTAACTTCTTTATTCACTCCAGCTGTGATTACATATTTGTTCAGATATCTGACAACAAATTAAGACACACACACACACACACATTTAAAACATAACACACCACACACCATCTATACTTTCACAGTCCCATATTCTTTGCCATAGTTATTCCACCGTCAGAATCTACCATTAAGATATGCACTATCTGGGCAGAGGAAGGTACTCTAAATTCTAGCCCTCCGTGAAAGTAACAAGAACAACAAAAATGGGGAAAATCTATCAGCATCAACTTTTTTTTGGAGAAAAGCTACTTCTGGCACACTGTCAGGTCCTACCAAGTAGTGCATGAGACAACAATGTCTGCAAAGGCAGGCAAGTGTCTCTCAGGCTGCACAGAGCCAGTGTCCATTGGTGACACTGTGACAGTTCAGGCAACACAGCATGTGAGCTCATTCTGCCTGTGTTTGTGCCCAGGCCAGCCCCCTTGAGTGTAAAGTATCTGGATTTAACTCTTCTCGCTAGAGAAGGTCTTAAGAAAGAGGTGGTTAATAGCTTGCTAATAAGGTTAGATCTATCCTCAAGTGTCTCATTGGGGGGAAAAAAAAAAAACCCTGAAGTTGATATTATTTACAATCAGGCTGGTGAGATGGGTCAAATTGGCTACCAAAAATAAACAATAGTGATAAAACTTCAGTGAGAAGCCATTATGAAGATGGATAAAGGAATTAGGAGGAAAAGGAGGAATGAAACTGGAAAAATTCTGGAAGCAAATGTTGAGTTCATTTTCCACTCCACACAGGACTTTGGCATTCTGAACATTTGTTCACTGAGTGAACAGATAGCAATATATGGAGGTAAAGTTCATTTTGGTTTTGAAATAAAGAAGATGTTCTCGATGGAATTCAGATGCTATACTTGAAGCATAGTAGCTCAACGAGGAGCAGAGTCCACTGAAATCAGGTTAAACTGTAGATTTCAAAAAGAACTAGAAACACTACAGCACTCTATATGTTATAGGTTGAATCAGCATCATTTTAGAGAAAGAATGTTTTGCATTTTGAAAAAGGAGAGCACTTATGTTGATTTTTTTCTCAAATGGTTAAATGAGCAAAAATCCAACATTTGGATTTATTATCTGGGATTTAGAGCTGATGGGAGTTTGTATCCTTGGCTGTGTCGATCAGCGCAGCTGTGAAAATCAGAAGCCAAAGCACAGAGTTCTTTCATTTTTGCAAAAGTATACTTTACTTGGTCGTAAAATATTCAATGTTCTTAAGATTAAATATCTGAATATTGCTTCTGAAGGAGCAGCTGTCGCCTTAAATCTAAAGTCTAGTTTGTTTACTGGCTGTATTTTATATCCTTTAGAAAATGACACAAAATGGCAATAAAATCATTGTAAGTATTCTACGGGGGAAAATAAATGCCCCTTGGTTACAGTGTACATATCTTGATACATAATTCCAGTTTATTTTCCCTGGAATTATGTTAAATATGTAAAAAGCCTTTTCTCATAAAGGTAAAAATGCTAGATGTTTCCAAGTTGTAATTTAGCATTAGTGTCAAGATCACTTCAGAAAATAAGCTACTGTTACTATTTCATTTCTTTTAAGTGTCATTGAGCATACACTATGTGAGTTCAGACATAAAATAACTTACATGATTTTGTATCAGTTTCATATGAGATTAAAAATAATTTATAGTCTACATGTGTAAAATGAACTGATGCTATGTAACTGTGTTTTCTTCTTTTTTACATTGTTTTATATTATCATTAAATAATTGTTTCATGTAATTGTGAAAGAATTTGTCCCAGTAAGTAAAGATATAGAAACTAATACAATCCATGGATTCTTAAAGAGATGTGATCAATATCCTTGTAGATAGTTCTTAGAGTCATATTGACAAAATTACAAAATATGCCAAAATAATTTTATAATATTTCTGTCCACAGGTATGAGAAGATATAATAATGTGTAGGGTTATTTGTCTGATTTCACTTTTCATGAGTGGATTTTTAAATTTTTTTTATCTTTTAAGAAATCAGTCTTAGGCAGTCTTCTCAGATGAAGTAGAATAAAAAATAAATATTCTGAAAATACTTATCTTAAACATTGACTTTGGAATGCAAGGGTTTTAAACTTCTTTTAATGCAAAACCTTAAAAATTTCAAAATATTATAGTAAATTAAGATTAATAATTAAAAATAAGGATGAAAATAACTCTTTCATATTTAGATCTCCTCATAAGATATTATTTCCAAAGTCCAATTCAATAAGATGAAAAATATATAAAATTAGAAATGAACTTATTTTTGTTTTAGATAAAGCAGTCAATCTTTA